GTACAGGATGTAGCAAACGATGAAAGAGAATCTGTCATTTCTTTCCTGTATGGAGTACAAGGTGCAGATCACATAGATTTTTGTGATCCACAAATTTGAATTTGGTTGTATTTGAATCTCCGCCGTACCTGTTTTGGACCCTGAAAAATTAGTGGAAAGAAAAGAGGACTTTAACTTTGTTAAAACTTTAGAAGCCCCACCAAATAGTTACTAGGACTGCTGTTTTTCAACTGCGGATCTCTCCCTTTATAAATTAACTCTTAGAATATACTGGTCTTCAATAAAGTCAACCTAATGAGGATATATAATCTGGCACAGACTTTGGAAGTTAACAAAGGTAAACTCTCTAAGCATTACTGATTCCTTGCAATTCCTTTGAAAAGCCTCCTTTGGGTCATCTCACACATCTTGAATCCTAACTGGAGCAATGTCATATGAATGCAGATTTCAAGAAGTGCTAACGTGTAGTATCTTGGAGATCTCTCTTGAAAAATATGTTCCAACAGACTTTTTCCTTTCATTTTCAAAGATCTATGAGGAATGAAAAATGGCAATAATCTAAAACTTAGAGAGTTTTAAACAACTGCAGATGTAATTAATTGTTTAAGGTAGAATTTCTTTTACCCTGGAAACCTTGTCCATGTTATTGATCAATCACATATACTTTCTCAATGGTATTCATGGGTGTCTCAACCGATCCTTTATTGTTGCAGTTATTTTAAACGATTTAACTTGAAATTAGTGCCCCAAGACATTTTAGTTCAGATAGAAATCCTCACTTAAAGGAAAATAAGGACTATAATAACAAGAGGACCACTAGAGTAACATATAAATATATATATATATATATATATATATATATATAACATATATAACATATATATAGATATGTTTTTGACATGATAATGTAGTGGCATTGAGAATGAAAACTTTGATATTACTAGTTTTAAACACCCTATCTTTGAAAATTTAGTAAACCCACTTTTCTATGCTCACTGTATAGTCTTCTAGAATGTTGAACATTCTAATAAGTAAAAGTATAATTATGATGTGTCCTATTTATATGCTGTCATATACATTTAGAGCATTAGTCCTGGGAAGGGTATCATCAGTGAATTTGTCTTTCATGTTTTAATTTTAATTTTAGGTGCCAAAACATTTTTTCTCTCTTTTGATAGCATTAAGATTACTATGAATTTTGAGGAATAATAATAAACCCAATAGAGGGAAAATATTTTCTATGAACAGATGGCTTTTGATATATCAAGGTTTTGCTATTTATTTTAGTGCTTAAAATAAACATTATTTATAAGACCACTTACATTTTGATGTTACTTAATGAGGAATATGCATCATTGATTTGACTAGCTTAAGAGGTCATTTAGAACTTGCCCGTTAACAAGCTGTAATCTGCTGAGCACGCAATGACTTTGTTTAAAATTATCTATTCAGAGCTGATCAATGACAATAATTGTTTTATACCAATCACTTCTGAAAGTTGCTAATTACTTTGAAGGACATGAATACTAGCCCGTTTTTGGAAGTCATAACCCACTCACCTTGAAGTTATCAAAAGTCATGTTGTTATCAAAAGTCATTTTGCCTCTTGAAAGTACTTTGTTTTTAAAAAATTAAGTTTATTCACTAGTACTGGGATATCAACAGGAAACATAGGCAAAATTTAAGATGTCGTTTGTTCCTATAACAGGAAGTATGGTAGAATCTCAGCTATTTGTATCTTATATCAATTAGATATTGGTTAAACTGGGCTCCCTATAATGTAAGAAAATGGTGTCTTTTATATTAAAGAGCATTGCACACACTCTT